CTCTCTCTCCTCTCCCTCTCTCCCTCCCTCCCTCTCTCTCTGTCTCTGTCTCTCTCTCACATACACACAATAACAAAATAAAATTTATAAATTATGAAAATTAGAGAAGGCAGAAAACAAAAATGGAAGGCTGTTTTGTACAGCATGGAAAAGGTGAATGAAGCAGCCTCCAGCCAGGGTGGCTGGACTGACTGGCTGGGGAGTCCCAGGGGTCAACCTTTCTCTGCTTCTCCAGCTCTGGGATTGTAAGCAAGTACCACCACACTTAGATTTTTCCCTCTTTAATGTGAGTTCTGAGGCTTGAACTGAGGTCCTCATTCATACAAGGCAAGTACTTTACCAATTGAACAATCTTTCCAGCCCTGTTTTTATTTTTTGAAATAATTTTAGACTTAAGGAAGTTTCCTATGTCCTTACTCTGCAGCCTGCCCAGTGACCTGCATAATGGCAGCCATGCCTTTCTGAGGTTTGGCTTGTCTGAGGAAGGTCCAGCTGGTATTCTCTGGGTGTGGATCAGAATGTGTCCTCATAACAAGAGTAACTTTGTACAGCACTTACTAAAGGCCAGGAGGAACTCTGGCTCAGGGTCCTGGATGCTGCAGCCCACTGAGGTGCCGGAGTCCCTGTTGTCTTCTTTGCCTGTGTTTGTGTGGTGTGCATTGTGTCGGTGTATGAACAGATGTGTCGGGACCTGTCCACATGTTTGCCTCCAGAGGCCAGAGGCTGACCTCAGCTGTTCTCTCTGACCTCTCTGCACCTTATGCCTTAAGGCAGGATCTCCCTGTTCTGGCCAGTCTATCCAGCATGCTCCCCATCTCCACCTCTGGCACTGGTGTTGGCACTGGGGTTCAGCCCACGCTTATAGTGAGCCATCTCAACAGCCACCATCTCTTGTTTTTGCTGATGAGGGAGCTCTACTTCATGGGGCTGCACATGCCAGAGGCAGTGTTCATGGCCAAATGCTTAACCAGCATTATGTCCCCTGTTGGTTTTCAAAGTACCTGTGGAGTTGAGATGGTACCTCGAGGCCAGTTTCTTCTTGGACAGAGTTTCACTTCCTCATTGTTAGGGTGTAAATGAAACTCTGCTCCTTGTTGGGGTGGCTACCTTTGACAAGCAGGCAGGGACCAGTGAGCATACAGAGGCAGCTGGCACTCACATGCACAAGAGGGCATGCTGGCAGATGATCTGCAAGAGCTGGGCAGGGCAGACAGAACCAGACCCCCAACTGTCTGAGTACCTCACAGAGGCAGTTGCCCTGCTTTCACCCTTGGTCCTAGCCTTGAAGGACCAGATCTTTCCTAAGGTGCCTTGTTCCAAATGGTATCCCTGTGTGTCAGATACCACTGTCACTCAGGAAATATCCAGGTGGTTTCTGTGAGAGTGCAGGAGAGGTAGAGGTAAGGTAGAGGCAAGAAAGGTCATGTTCACCTCAGTTGCTGTATTTGGTGCCAGGCACATCAGAAACCAAGAGTATTTGAGCCCAGATGACCTTGGTAACTTGATCACGCACATTCCATGCATGTCAGGCAAGGAGTAAACACTGGAATCTTCTGGCTGCAGCAGGACTAACAGTTTGCTTTTACACAGTGGTGGTTTTAGTTATGTGAACTTCATCATGGACTTGCAGTGAGGAAACAAAGCTTCCAGGAAGGAAAACGATGGGTCTCGGGTTCTCTCCTGAGGATTTTGCGCAGCTGGGTGGGGGCTAGTCTCTCAAGGAAGCCCTTGAGTACAGCCTGTGCCTGGGTTCTGACTGGCTACCGACCAGCTTTGAGTTCTTCTCTAGGCCCCTGTTTCTTCAGCTCTTACTGGGCATCCTCACAACCCTTTCCTCATCAGGTTCTTGTAAGGGAGGAGGACACACTGCAGGAGAGCATGACAGAGTTAACGGCACAGACACCCTGGCCTTCACCCAGGCCATGTTGCTGGTAGCAATGATCCAGCTTTACATCCATCACGTGTGAGTCTGGGTATGGGTAATGGACTGTAAAGGAAAGTTGATTTCAACACATGGTGCTTATGTCTCTCACACAAGAAGCAGCTGGAAGGCGGGTAGTCTGGGCCACCATGGGGTTGAATTATGCCCATTGAAGAAGGTTTACCTTGGTTTATTCCCTTCCAGTCTCTGGGTGCACCGACTTGCTGCCTCATGGTTACAAGGTGGCTCGTACAGTTCCCTCTGTCATCTATAAGAGGAGAGTAAGTGGGTAGAAGAAGTACAGTAGTAGTCATAGCTTTCTGCTGTAAGAGAAGCAAAAGCTTCCTCCAAGCCCGACCCCCAGCCACTGCCCCCGTCTTGTGTCCCGGTCCTGTGTCTGTGCATACAAGTAGCAAACACCTTTCTACACTGGTGTCCCTAATCGGAGGGAAAAGGTGGGTACTGTTTTATTTGCATATTATTTTTCTTAACTTTTTTCTGTTTTAGGATTTCATTTATTTGATTGGTTTTGTTGAAATAGAATCCCACTTTGTAGCTCTGGCTGGCCTCAAACTTTCTTCCTGCCCCAGCCTCTAAGATACTGGGATTTCAGGCATTCATCCGAATGCTCAACTTTTTCTTAACTTTAAATTGAAATATAACACGTGCAATGAAATGCACACATCTTTGCTAGATTACTCCAGGGTGTTGTACTATTTAGCCACATAGAAACACTCTGCGATCATCTCAGAAATCTTCCTTTTAGCCCTTTTACCCTCCTTAAGGTTCCTATTGTTCTCATCTGTAGCCAGAGGTCAGTGTTGCTGGGTTCTAGACTTCTGGGAAGCAGAAGGTGAGCAGGTGCATCTATATATGCCCCTGCTGGGTATGAGCTTCCTCTGTGTGATTATGAGGGGCAGACCTAGATTTGGCTCCTGCTTTTCCTGTACTTGTATCTGCATATAGCTGGCTCTGTGAACAGGTGGCAGGTATCCCAGAGACAGAAGCTCATGGTCTCTGCTGATGGAGTGTCTTTCCTCATGAAAACCTCTTCCTGAGTCTTGCAGAGCTTGCTTTTGAGCTCTGCTTGCACTAGCTCTATGTCCACTTTCACAGAAATCTCTGAGGACTTATGTGCCTGATAGGGATGCTGTCAACATAAAAGATCTACCTGAATAATTGTTCATTTGAAGAAGAGGGAAGAAGAGATTGTGAGAGAGGGATTTATGGAATGACATTTTAGACAAAGGGAAAACAGCCAGTAAAGGTGTCATTGGGAACCTGAGCTGGAAGCCAGCCTGTGGACAAAGGTTTGCATCACTGTCTCCTCCCCTTCAGTAGCTTTAGTTCTGAGCTCAAGACCATAGGAAACTTGAAGCTAGTCCTTCACCACTGGGGCTGGACAGCCTGATGTGAATTCGTGTGGCCTCTTGAGAAGCCGTCCTTCCCCTAGAAGGGAGATGGAATTTCCCTGGCAAAGCTACTGTGGCTTTCCTCATTCAAACAGTCAGTCACCTGGTCTTAAGAAGGACTCCAGAACAGAGGCCTGAGCTGATGTGTGTCAGTGGACTCACAAAGACAAAAGGGGCAGGTGATTCTAGAGTGTGTTCATGTAAGTCATCCAGGGATACAGGAAACAAATGGAAACTCTGGAGTCGGCTCCCATGGCTGCTCATCCTTGCTGCCTTTGCTTCAGAGACCTGCTAGTTCGGAGCCTTGTGTCTGCTAGAACTATGTTCTGGGATATTCCACTAAGACTTACTAAGGGATTCTTTTTGTAAAACACTTCGAATATCTTATTATATTGAAGAAGTAATTATTTATATTCATCACCCTTTTTGAGAGGTTTGCATAGGACCTAGAGATATAAGTAGAATTACTTCCATTTTGCTATTTAATAAATTGAAGGTTAGAGAGCTTCTGCAACCTCTAGTGGGTAATAGATAATAGGAAGAAAGGTTAAGTTGGGTGTGGCGGTGCATCCCCCGAGCAGCCTCGGCAGACAGGCAGAGAGAGGCAGCCCTGTCAACAAAATGGATCAGAATCCCAGAGGCCAGCCAGACCCAACACAGTGAGACTTATCTCAACAGTCACAAAAGAAGACAAAGAAGCAAGGTTGATAATCAACCATCTTGCCCAGTACCTGGCACTCGGCTTCTCCACCTTCACAAATGAAGCCTCGCCTGTCTGTGCTGGCTCTCTTGTTTCTCCCCTTACCTGGCATTAACACATTCTTCCGTGTTTGTCCAGGAGGCCCAGAAAGCTACGAATACTGTCTGTCACTTATTTTGATCTTCTCTGTTCTTGAGGCTTCACTATGTGAAGAGCCTCAAAGAATCTTTTACATTTTAGGAAACAGAAATTAAAAAAAATTTTTTTTAAAGACTTAAAGCTGAGCACATGGTGGAAAGTACCCTATTGGATAGTGAGACACCGGTTTAATCTACATGACACCACAAGCTCACAGCAAAGCATCACACCCTGAGTACAGACCTCATTTATGAAATAAGTGTGTCATCACAAATGCTGTGCCCCAAACAAGAGCTTCTTGGGACCTTTCCTGTGCTTTTGTGCTTCTCAGGTGGGTTCAGGATGCAAGTCTGTCCTAAAGGAAACTTAATTATTAAATGTAGATTCTGAAATGGGAACACTAGGGCTCTCTACAATTAATGAACACACACACACACACACACACACACACACACACACACACACACACTCACAACTTTACCAAGTGAGCTACATTTATCTCGAAGCCCAGCTTCCTCACCAAGAAAGGGTTTACACTGATAAATAATTCATATTGGAGCTTAAGATTCCTGGAGGGACTGGCAGGCTTTCATCTTGGATAAGGTGCCATAAAATATTGTCAATAACCAACCTCAGTTTGCCAGACTGAGTATAAATCCTTCTTGCTGAGTATGTGACTTTGTAATGTAAACTGTTTTCAGTTATACCTGGAACTACTGACCTGAAGGAAGGCACAGCTGCTCAAGTTTGAAAATAAGAGATGAGAGGTAATAGTCCAGTTGGGTATGAATGTACTCTACTTAGACAAGTGACCACTTTGTCGTTTTAGACCCAACAAAGAGGAGACTGGCCATGTGAGTGCTTCAGGTGCATCTGTTGTCAAGCATGGACTTAATCCAGAGAAGGGCTTCATGCAGGTTCATTACTTAAAGGTAAGTGTGCCTGATGCCTACTGCCATTTGTTACAGGATGGCACTCCTGAGGCCAGAGAGCTGAACAAGATGAGTAACACGGCTGAGGCAAAGGAAAGGGTCTCCACCTCTGTAATGGCATCTCAGTGAGCCTAGACTTAGTACTCACAAATCAATACTCTAAAAGCCTCTGAACAAGACCATGTTCAGAAGAACTTAACCTAAGAAAGTCCCATTTCCTGCTGCAGATGAGTAGAGGCCAGAACAGAAGGCACCTCTGGACCTGGTGTGAAAGCTCTGGGCCTCTCCTCTCTTGCAGAGTTCAAGCAGAGGTGCTGATGACATTAACAAAGTTGTTGAGGTCTCTGAAGTTCATCCTGCATTTCCAAGCCCAGCCTTCCTGGCCAGAATATGAAAAGCACCTGAGCCAGAAAAAGCAGCATGTTCTGGATGCACTAATACATTATACTAATGTAAGCAACTTTGTGATGAACCCTGATGCCAACTTATTGTCTATCTTTCTTCTTTCTTCTACCAGGGCTACTTCCTTCTTCGATTCCTAGCCAGAACACTTGGAAAGGAAACTTATTTTTCATTTTTAAGGAAATTTGTACACCTGTTTCATGGACAGTTGATTCTTTCACAGGTAATTCACAGTGGTAAACTCACTGCACACAACTGGAGAGGCTGCAGCATATGGGAATTAGATTATGTCAGCACTGGAAAGTAGAGAAGTTACAGTTATATATACTGGGAGAAAGAGGTTAGTGATGTGGACTCCAAGGATGTATGTTTGGGGAATATGAGCCCCTGGTAGTATAGGAACTTGCTGTAGCCTCCAACTGTTCATTACCATATGAGCAGCTGCATATGAAGTGGCCTTATAAAACCAAACAGTCCTGCTGGAGGCATCTGGGCAAGCTTCTCTCCTTCTGATGCTGCCACCTCAGAGTCACCCTGCCTAGCAACTCAGAGTACTTACTGTGCAAGCATGAAAGCTAGAGTTCAGTTCCCAGCACCCACACAGCAGTCTCTGACCCCACATACACCTGTAACACAGCACTGAGGGATCACAGAGATGGGGGAGTCATGGGATCTATTGGCCACAAGTCCAGAAGAGAAAAACGAAACCTGGGTTCAGGAGGAAACCCCATCTCCAGGGAACAAGGATGACAGTGTTACAGAGGACACCAAACACTATGACCTCCACACATGCAGGCATGCTCACTTACACACACACACACACACACACACACACACACACACACACACACACACACCAAACAATGCCCAAAACAGCAGCAAAAACCCTTTGACTGAAGTGCTTTTGCCATTTTACACTGTTGAATAGCATTCTCTCATTGCTCTATTTGTTTGGTGTGTGTGTGTGTGTGTGTGTGTGTGTGTGTGTGTGTGTGTGTGTGTGTGTGTGTATTTAGGTCAGAGGGCAGCATGTTCTCTCCTTTTCCCACGTGCGTCTCAGGATTGAACTTGAGTCATAAGGCTTTGGCATCGAGTGCCATTTCCTACCACTGAGCCAGCTCAGGGACCTACATGCCTTTTGAAAATTTACATCTTGCTCAAATTTTATGTTAAAGTATATGTAAAATAAAATTTGACATTGTAATGTACTGCTTGGTGGGGTGAGCCCCACTCACTTTTCTGTCCCAGCAACAAGCGTGTATCTCTGTAACATTCCATCTCTCTGCACTGGCTTTTATGTGGGTGCTTGGAGATCTGAACTCAGGTCCTCATGCTTATGTGGCATGTGCTTTGCCAACTGAGACGGCTTCCCAGCCATGATAAGGTTCATTCTTTGATCAAAATCCTCTGCAGGATTGCCTGCCTTTACATTCTCACTGATTTCCCTGTGTGCTTGTCAACTTTTGTCGATTTCTGCATTTTCTTGTTGTTGTTGTTTTATTTTGCTTTGTTTGTTCTTTTGAGACAAGGTTTTATTCTGTAGCCCAGGCTAGCCTTGACTCTCTCTAATCCTCCTACCTCCTGGCTTATATGTGCTTTTAAGATTTCATTTACCCAAGTTTAGTGAGAAAGGAAACCGAAGTGAACATTCTGAGTTCACAATAGTGTGAGAGAGCTTTTGCTAGATAATTCTGATAAGAAGCATCGTTACAGATATGGTGCTGTGATTCCAAGTGTGATTTCCCATCATGCTTGTTCCTGGGGAAGAGGAGGTACACTGATTAATCCCTTGAGTTTCAATCCAGCCTGGTTACAAAGCAAGTTCCAGGCTAGCCAAGGCCAGAATGAGACCTCTCTCAAAAGCCAAAAACAGAAACGATGTTTTGGTTTGTTTGTTTGTTTTTAAAGAGGAAATAGGCAATACTGTGCTTCTGTTATCCCCTCAATCCTCACATTTTAGTTGTTACTGTTACATTGCTGAGGTTTGCTTTGCTAACATAAAGGATTTTAGTATTGCCACCACTTAACCATGCTTCTAGATTCATGAATATTTTATTTTGATCTAGCTCTTTGTTGGCTCAATTTCATTATCAAATTGATGTTCAAGTTGCAGCTTCCCAGACTGTGTGGTTTCTGAGTTCTTACTGCTTGGGAATGCATGTCTCCTGTCTGTGTTTAAATCACAAAATAGCTAGGTTTAAATATTCCTGGGCCACGTATTCATTTCTTGGAACTTGATAGATGTTGCTCAACTGCCTTTTTAATCAACCACTGCTGTGAAATTTTTGAAAGTTGCCTGCTTTTCCCTGTTTATATCATGTAGATGGCAGAAGAGATTTTTACCTTTGAGTTCAGTGATTTAACTAAAACTGAGTGAGTATACATGATTATTTCAAAGAATTGTTTCACACTGTGGGAGAGAGAGGGAGTGTGTGTATGTGTGTTTGGGTGTGCCCTGGTACAAATGTGGAGTACAGTGGACTATTGTGGGAGTCTGTTCTCTCCTTCTACCGTGTAGGGTTTGGTATCAGACTCAGGTCCTAAGGTTTGGCAGCAAGCTTCTTCACCCACAGAGCTGTCTCACCGGCCCTGGTACGCAGGATTCTGCGTTGTTCCTTCTCCCTGGAAAACACTGTACTGTTTAAGTCTTAGATTCTAAGTGCAATTGTCTTAAATATGCTTTGTCTTGGTTTTGTTTTGTTGTTTGGTTTTTCAAGACAGGGTTTCTCTATGTAGCTCTGGCTGTCCTGGAACTCGCTCTGTAAACTAGGCTGGCTCGAAATGACAGAGATCCGCCTGCCTCTGCCTCCAGAGTGCTGGGATTAAAGGCGTGCTGCACCACTGCCTGACTAAGTATGCTTTGTTTTGTCTTGTGTTTTGAGACAAGAATCTTGCTGTGTAGCCCAGGCTAGTTTTGAATTTGTGATCCTCCTACCTCTGCCTCCTGGAAATACAGGCCTGTATCACCATGCTTGATTTCAACTACATCTTTGCTCATATGCTTTTCCCCTTGTAAGGTTCTGAGTTCCCTGTTACGTCTTCTTTGTCTGGTGTACATACGTTATTAGATAATTACTTTTCCTCTTTCTTGTCTTCATCCCATTTTTCTCTCAGGCAGCTCTTTATTATTAAATAGCCTTTTTTTTCTTTTTCTTTCGAGACAGTCTCAGTTAGCCCAGGCTAGCTTCAAACTCCTAACGGGACCGAGACAACCTTGATCTTCTGATCTGCAAGCCTAGCACTGAATGTCATTTTCTTCAGTGTTCTTTGCTTTGCTCTTTACAGATTAATATTCCTGAAACGGTGCTGTTACGGTGCTTAGTTTTCTTTCCTGGAATTAGAATCTTTTCTTTTCATTTTGTTATCTTGTCATCTTTAGCCTTTAATTTTTGGTTATTGTTGCTAGTTTTGTTGGTTTTGCTAATGTAAAACATTGTGGGGGAATTGTTCTCTGCTCCTTGGGTTATATTTTTTTCTTCAGCATGAGTTCTTTTTCTCTTAGCTTCTCTCTGCTCCTCTCTTCACATGGTTTGTGTTCATTCTCACTGATGCTTCACTCTCAGCATGGACAGCACTGCTCTGACCGTTTATTTAATCTCATGTGTGCTGGAACTTTATCTTTGATTCCTTTCCCAGCTCACCTAAGGCTTGTTTTTCCAGCCCCTCTAAGCTATCATCTAACAGGTGGATATTATGGGTGGGGATGTGGCCTAGCGCTGCAGCAGTTACATTGAGCCCTTGTTGGAAGGATTTGACCCCGCCCTCCCGAATCGTTGCTAACTGCCCCTCCCCAGGTTCTCCTGACCCTTGGACTCGCAGTGTCTCAGTTGCCTGTCCAGATCAGGGCAGCGTCAGAGCACCCAGCTGTCCTCAGTGGCTTATTCCCACCCTGTGCATCTCTCCCACAAGTGCTCCAGGCCCTCCAGAGCTAGGAAAGAAGAATGGTACATCTCCATCTCTTTGCAAATGTGTAGGTGTTTAAGAATTTGTGAGGTCTGAGCAATTCAGCTCCCCAACTTCTAAGCCTGAGAGTGGGGGCGGTGTGGCCTGTTCCCTAGAATCTGGCAGAACCGCCTTTCCTTTCCCTAGCTCCTGTCTTTGGAGTTTGTGCCATCCTTATTTGGAAGCTGTTGGGCATGCTTTTGCTTTTTTTTTTTTTAAATAATTGATATGAATTGTGTGGATTGTGTTTTGATTTACCCTGATACTTTGTTACAGTTTGCTCAACTTGGTCATCCCTTTCCTTGTGAACTCTGCTCCCTGTGCAGTATTTCAGTATTGTCAGCCTTCCTATACCATTGTCTTTTCTTCCTTCCAGGCCATGGCCACAGTGATTAATCCTAAACTCCTCATAGAAACCACTAGTCCTGTGTCATTCTTAAGCTAACGGCGGTTGATCTGGTAGAATCTACATGCACCTACATTTTAGTGAATATTTTCACTAGATCCAAAAATTAATTGCCAGATTAACCACTGGACAGAATTGGGAGTTTGTTGTTTTTTTTTTTTTTTTTTTTTAAGGTGTAATGGCTAATTTAGTGTTGTTAGGTGTTAAAAGAAGTAGTCTGGGGCTGATCTGATTAGCATGCAGTTTATTAGGACAGTAGGAGCTGGCAGTGCAGCCCAGAGGACTGTCCCTTGTTGGTGGGGGCTTCTTGCCCCTCCAGGTTCCAGGTAAAGCCCCTCTCCAACAATACCTTTGTTTTTCCCTTTGGCTTTCATCTGTGTCAGGCATGCTACAAAAGCGGCACACTGGGACCCCTGTTGTTGTCAGGAGCCCTCCTTGTCCAGTTGTAATGTCAGCTTCCTTCTCAGAGCTCTGAGCACAGTGAGGAGAAAGGAGGAGATGGTGAAGGAAGACAGCTTCCTGAGGGCACACTCATTCTGTTTCAGCAGGCAGTGGTTAGAAAGGACAGCTCTCACAAGTCTACCCAGGGCAACGGCAGCCTACAAGAGGAAACAGGAAAGCTAGTGCTGTGTGGTTAGATTTGAGTCTCTAATAGGAGTAAGAAGAGCCAACTGAATCCGTTCTCCTCATAGATGCTTAAGAGACTTCAGACGAGAAACAAGCATCTCAAATTGGATGGAGCACAAGACAGAGTATAGAGAGTACATCACAAATCTCGGGGGACATCTTGGAGATGCCCAGTGTGTTTGGTCTGTGCAATATCGGGCATTGGTTGGAAGCCTCCAGCTAGCTGCCGAGCTGCCTGCCAATCTAAGCTTGGAGGTAGGAATCGGCAGATGCTCCAGAATAGTAACCGACTAGGAGTCAGGACACCATCTTTTTTAAAATAAAAAGGAGGAGGGGGAGGTTTTCATAGGGACCTTCTTCACTGCCCCATATCTACCCAGAGTTCCAGATCTCTGTGCTTATACTCCTATCAGAAGGGGAAGGGCTGTGAAGCTAGTTGTAACTTGAAAATGTGAAAGGGTAGAATTAAGGTTAACTCCGAATTTCCTGCTCCTCAAGCAATTAAATTCTTCCCCCTTCTTATTAAGTTAATGCCATCTCCCCCCCACACACACATAATTGAGCATAAATTACTAGGAAAATAGGAGATAAGTTTGTAGGTACTATGTAGACATAATGGGGTAAAATTAGTAAGAACTTATAATTAGAGTTATAATTACATAGTTATAGTTCTTGGATTTTTAAGAATCAAAAAATCAAAATTTTGTCAATACGTCAGTGATCCACTAATACAGTGATTTACAAAGAGATCTATTAATTAGATCATGATAAATAAATTTTTAATGCAACATTTTACAAAATATTTTTTAAATAATAGGTGAATACTTTACTACTAACCTATTTCCTTAGTCCCAGTAATTTTTAAAATAATAGAGATGATGACTTTAGGACCCTCAGGCAAGGCTCAGGCAGGTGTCAAGTACTTGCCGCACAAGCATGAGGACCCAGGCTTGTCCCCAGCACCCGTGCATAAAAGCCAGCCACCTCTTGTAATCGCAGGAGGAGGAGACTGAGGAATGATATCCAAGGCTGACTTCCAGTCTACACATTCACAAATGCATAGCCCTCACCCCACACAAAAGATCCTCAAGGGAAAAATAATTCCTCACATTCTAAATACTAGTATTGTTTTTCTTGAGCAGGCTTTTCTGTCTGTCCACTGTAGGTACATTCGTGAGGCAGTAAACAATCCAGGGCTGCCGCCTCCCAACACCATTTCACTGCATCCATTGGTCTCCAAGTGGTGGCAATATTTGGGGAGGTTGTGGAACCCTTACAAGTCAGGACCTAGCTGTCCGAAGTAGTAGGCTCCTGAGAGGAGTGGGCCTTGCATACCATAGCTGTTCTAGCTCCAGCCCCTGCTTCCTGCCTCCTCCTCTGTACCTTGTGAACAAGCCACCACAGTGGCAGCCCCTCCAGCCACCATGCAGTAATAGGCCTCAAAAATTATGAGCCACAGCAAGCCTCTCCTCTATTAAGTTGTCTGTGTGAAGGATTTTAGTCACAGTGGTGTGAGAGAAATCTTTCATTAGTTCTTTTATTGAGGAACCTTTACCTCTGGAAAGACGGCCCCCCATAAGCCCGCAGGCTGGCTTTGCTCATTCAGTGATGGCTGGACTCAGTGCCATGATGGGAAAGGAGAACCTTGCCATGCACACCGCTCAGCAGCCACTTAACTCTGCCGTCAAATCTGCTGTGTTGCAAAGGTCTGGACTGCAGCTCCCATCCCCTGCTCTGGTAGTGTGTGCTGACTTGGGCTTTCACTTGAAAGACCACCTTTTAACTTTTTTAACGTATTTGTTTTTGTGAATTTCATATACGAGCACTGTACTTTTTTTAAAGCAGGGAATCACATGGCTAACCTCAAGCTCCAATTGATTCTCTTGCCTCTGCCTCCTGAGTACTAGGATTACAGGCATGGGCTATCACGCATGCCTTAAAAGTTTATTTTCTCTTTGTTAAATCTTCAAGGATAGCCAGGTATTGTGACTTACATCTACATGCGGTCCCAGCCATCAGGAGGCTGAGCTGGAGGATCAGCATGGGCTACAAATCGAGAAACTGTCTCAAAAACAAAAGTGACTTACAAACTTAGAAAAACAAGAAACAAAATTGTATTCGTTACTGTATTAAAGGGAAATCGTGTAATGTTGACATAGCAAAAGATGCTGTGCATAAAAAAAGTAAAAGTGAAAGCAAGAAAAATCCCTCCAGATGAAGATCCTATTTGTTGTTTAGTGTCATTAATAGCAAAAATGTTACGCTTCGTGCTTGCTTTTTTCTTCTTTTGTGTCCTCCAACCCATCTGACACTCAGATGGTGAGAAGCTTATGCGGGAGTTTGCATTCAGCAAATAAAAAGACAGAGCAGAAAAGCCCAGTTAAGTCTTAACTTTAAGTAAACAATCATTCTTAGTGTATTTATCCTCCCAGTTTAACTGCGTGGCCTCTATCTGACAACACTAGTGAAGACCCAGTGAGGATTCCAGAGATGGATGGGAAAGGTGGCCACAATAAAAATATAAATTAAATACAAACAAGCGTTCATATTTGAACTTTTAGGTCTGTGATATTGTGGTTATTCCTGACAGAGACCTTTTATTTTAGAGAGGTTTACCAAGCATGTATAGATAACATTATATAATATTCAGGATTTCTTAATAGTTCAAAAGGGAGGGAAGATGATAGACAAGGCAGGTTAGCTCGGGTAATTTGAACAGGGTGGTTAACTATTCTACTTTGCTTTTATTTGAAATTTTCCACAATAAAAGGAAGTGGCTTGGGAAAAAGGTGTAAGTCATGACATGGTACTGTCACACATCCTTAGATGTCCTGTGACTGCACAGACACAGGAGAGGAGAAGGGACTGAGTTTCAGACTGGGACCATCTTTGTAGCTCAGCTGGTTCTTGCCCTATTGAGTTTGGCCTCTTTCCAGAGCACTACATGTGTATTGCAGGTGAGCTGTGGACCTCTAGGTGTTGAGGGAGACTTCATGGCGAGTGCATGGGAAAGTAAGGGGGCAGTTCTTTTATGTGTGATCGGACCCAAGGTGCATTGAACAGTTAATGCTTGGTTGCTGGCATGGTTGGGCAGCTAGCTACTGGTGGACAGCTTTCATGGTTTGCTTTCTTCTTATTTCAGGATTTCCTTCAAATGCTGTTGGAGAACATTCCAGAAGACGAAAGGTGAGGACCAGTGTAGGAATTAAGAGCCCCATTTCACTTTTAATGTTGAAAAGATCCTGCCATTGTTTGATCTGTTGCTGCAACTTAAGACAGTTAAGATCTCCTCTCTGTGTACAGGAACCCAGTGCAGCTCGTGGAGTCATAGCTTGACCAGAACACAGGCTGGAGTCAGGGCAGCATGCACAGCCCAGGGCCCTTAAATGTGGAAAAGGAAGCTAGCCAAGAGCACTCTGGCTAAGATTGGAGGAAAGGGCTCCATAGTGGAGTGCTTGCTGTAATGAGAAGGTCAGGGACTGCTACCCTAGACCACCTACTTCTTAAAACAATAAGTAGATAAATAAAATAACAGAGAAGAACAAGTTGAGGTGGCTCTAGTCAATGTGGTTTTGTATAAGGGCATACTGTTTAACTGAGGCACAGAGGTGCAGTAAGAGCCTGGGGTGGCATGCCAGCTTTGCTGCCTCCTGTCCTAGTCTCATAAAATACCTGACAAAAAGTGACTTGGGAGAATGGATTGATTTCAGTCACAATTCCAAGTTATAGTCTGTCATTGTGGCAAAGCCAAGACAGCGGGAGCTTCAAGCAGCTGGTCACATTACATTCATAGTCAAGGGTAGAAAGAATGCTAAACATTATGCTTAGTATCCAGCTAGCCTTTTTTACACTATCTAGGGCCCCAAACCAGGTAATGCTGCCACCTGCTTTCAAGCTAGCTTATCTCACATCAATCAAGGCAGTCGAGACAGCCTCCTATAAACATGCCCACAGGCCAACCTGATGTAGACACTCACTCATTGGGACTGTCTTCCTCAGTGGTTCTAGACTGTGTAGAGCTGACAGTTAAAACTAACCCCCATACCTTCTAATTTCAAAATTTGGAGGAAGTCATTTAAACCCTTGTGGACAGTATTTTAGCAGGGGTTAAAAAGCTGATATCCATGTTTAAACTAGGTGCTCAGTTGACAGTTGGTGTGCCCATTAAAACATATCCATGTCCTGTGCACAGCAATGCGCACAGTATCTATGTGCATCATCATCAGCTCTGACTTTAATGTTCTCGTAATCACCATCAGGGAGATTATTAGAAAACAACATTGATTATTATGCCACTCAGTCCTTGGAACAACACTCTCACTTGGGGTCTCATGTATGGCAGGCTAACCTCAAACTCACCATGTAACTGAGGGTGGCTTTGAACTCCTGAACCTCCTGCTTCTACCTCCTGAGTACTCGGAGTACAGGTGTGCATCACCACGACTAATTTCTGTGATGCCATGGATCAAACTCTCATGCATGCTAGGCAAGCACTCACCCAACTGAGCAGCATCCTGGGTGAACAATACTCTTTTGTATGTGATGTTTTTTACCCCTGTTTGACCAAGAAAACGACAGAAGAAAACTGATATGAGTCACCAGTCTATATCTTGGGGCCCCATGTGGCAGTCTGACTCCAGAGTTGGGGAAGCTGAGGTTCCAGAAGTTAAGTAGCTTTTTTCTTAGTGTGTGAGCCCACAGGGACTGGCTCCATCCTGAGACTTTCTCATCTCCGTGCTCAGTGCAAACTTCCTGACACTTATGGTTGGATGTGGTCATTTGCAGGGACCTGGTCTCACATGACTATTTAAGAAAGCCAAAGCCTCTGTTACAGATCCAGATTCCTCCACCATGGGTCTTCTAATGCCCTGTCCTAACTCCTAAACATAAACACCTGAAAGCATAATTTCTATTAGCAAAACTGACATCCAGACATTAAAGAGGGACTTCTTGAGCAATTTAAGTGTTTCTTTGTTGAAGGGCTGACGTTACTTGTCTTTCTCTGGCATGAAGGCTTAGCTGTGTTTTTAAACCTTGTAAACATTTCCAAGTGTGGACATGAATTCTTTGACACAGATATTTTCTTAGATTCATGCAAAGCCAGTCACTTGCGTGTTGCTGAGTCTGTCTGATAAGCAGTCTAACTTAGATGTCTCCAGGCTGAGTGCAGAAGATGACATGCTGTGAAGACATGGAAGCTTTTCTGCATACTGGATTTTCCCCCGTTGAAACATCCCTGTCTCCCACCTTCCGTCCTTCCCTCAGCAGGTAGAAGCCTTGCTGTCAGTCCTGGTTCTGTAGTGGCCTTTCATTTCAGTACAGGGGCTCATACTTGTTAACCAAGCACTCTGCCACTGAACTAAATCCTGATACTGACTTATTTCTGTGTGCAGGTACATGTCGCAAGGTGCATATGTGTAATCGGAGGGGAGTTTCTGTCCCACCGGCAACCCCCAAATACCCAGCAGCCACTTCCCAAATGATCACATAAAGGCTTATATTAATTATAAATGTTTGGCTGATGGCTCAGGCTTATTATTAACTAGCTCTTACATTTAAATTAACTCAGTCCTATTCATCTATTTATTGCCATGTGGTCCATGGCTTACCAGTCCTCCAGCATCCTGCTTCTTGGGCAGCTCCTTGCGTCTGAGTCCTAGTTTGATTCTTCCGCCTAGCCTTATCCTGTCTTGCCATAGGCCGTAATAACAACTTTTATTATCAACCGGTGAGATAAAATCATATTCACAGTGTGCAGAAGGACCATCCCATAGCACAGATGTGGTCTGAGAACAACTTTGTGGAGTGGATTATCTTCCTACCACCTTTAATGTGAGTTCCAGGGATTGAACTCAGATCATCAGGCTGGCACAGTCAGAACCTTTACCCATGAAGCCATCTTACTGAACAAGCACTATTTTTTTTTTCAAATAGAGCAGAAATATGCAAATATGAAGCTAATCTGTACATCATGCAAAGTCCGTGTACTTGATAGATTCCTTGACTCCTGCCCTTCTGCGCTCATTAACAAAGATGGCCTGCAGCTTCAGTGACTTGGCAGGACAATCAGCTTGTCAGGAGGCTGTGCTGAGGAACAGCCTTGTGTGGAAGATCCTTAAATGTTTCAGCTTAGCATCCTGATTTTGTTATTTGTTTGTTTGTTTAAGTAGACACATTGTGATGGTATCTTAAGTAAAGTGAGTTATCATTGCTGTGATAAAACACCATGACTAAACCACTTGGGGAGGAAAGGGTTTATTTGGCTCACACTTCCACATCACTGTTCATCACTGAAGGAAGTCAGGACGGGAACTCAAACAGGACAGGAACCTGGAGTCAGGAGCTGATGCAGAAGCCATGGAGGGGTGCTGATTACTGGCTTGCTCAGCCTGCTTTCTAATAGAACCAAGGACCAGCAGCCCAGGGATGGCATCACCCACCATGGGCTGGGCCCTGCCACATCAATCACTAACTAAGAAAATGCCTTACAGGTTTGCCTGCAGTCAGATCTTAAAGAACCGTTTTCTCAATTGAAGTTTCCTCTTCTCAGATGACTCTAGCTTATGTCAAGTTGATATAAAACCGCCCAGCACAGGTGGCGATTCTTCTGCAAACATCATCCCAGATGTGGTTATTTGTTATTCAGGAATAAAGCTGGAAGGTTTACGTATTTCCCCTCATAACTGGATGTTAAGCTCACAGCCTCACAATGCTAGGCATGTGGCTGACTGCTGTACTACAGTGCCAATAATGTTCTTTTCTTTTATACCTGCCCTCAGGACAATAGCTCAGGTTCTCTGATAGAGTATAGAGGCCCTTCTTTAGGACATAGAGCAGAAGAAGTGGGGAGGGAGGGGAGGGAGAAATTAATTTATAGATGTGGTGTATGACCTCTTCTGTTGGTTATCAAAGTGCATTCCTTTGGGGCAAAGTTCTTAGGGAAGAGACACAGCAGTTTCCAGTGAGACAGCACAGTACACTTTTAGTTTGGGACATCTGTCTTACTTTTAATCTCCGTGATGCAGTATGGAGTTCATTTGGATGCCCTGAGCCCTCTGGCTCTGAGGGCCTGGATTTTATTGTTGTGGGTATTTACTGAGGCAACACACTGGACCCACAAAGAGACGTTTGTTGTAGTTGTGGAGATTAGGCCAGCATCGATGCCCTATGTGGCTGCCAACCACTCACTGCATCTCTTTGACGGGCACCTTTCCCAGTGGGGTCATGCTTTACTAGCAGGCTTAAATCTCATTAAGAATTCTCCTTAAATGTTAAAGTAATCTCTTGCCTACAGCAAGTCTACCTCACCAAATATATTTTCAAACTTAAACATCTTCTTTCTGGCTAACTAATCTCAAAATCTAGTTTGCCTACTCAAACAGATGGCTTGCTCTATTACCTATGCAGCATATTGTACTAATTTTATGTGGGCCTCCAAAGACTGCACATCTACCCCCTGGAGCCTCTGATCTTTGGCCCCAGTTGCAAACTGATCCTTTGGCACATCTGTTAGGCACTTGAGCCATGCTGCGCAGGCAAGGCTTTGCCAGTCACAGTGGCTAGTGCTTCAGTGTCATGCTGCCTCTCACTGTGGTCTTGCCTCGATGTATTAACACTCTCTGTGGAGCATCTCCTATAGCAGGCTTTAGGCTGGACTATGTGAGACAGGGAAGAATAAATCCAATACCAGCCTTCAAAGAGATCCTAGCCAACCACCAAAAATATGGGTCATTATAATCACCAGCACGGGGCATTAGAATCCATGTATGTAGGGCTCTGTGAGGTTCTGGGTCCTGGGGGCGCAGACAGCAGACTCATCAGCCTTCAACTTGAAATGAGACCTGAAGGCAGAGCCTGTGCAGCCTTGGGAAATGTCTCTGGCAAGGCATTGTGGGGGAAGGGAAGAGGGATGGGAGGGCTAGAAGCCGGGAGATCCATTAGAGCATTTGAGTCAAGAAATCTTGAGAGCTGGGGTTATTTCAGTGATGGGTACAATGGCAGTGGGCTTTGAAGCAATGAACAGAGCCATGGGTTGTTTGAGGAGTGCCACAATTACAAATGGCTGATGAGTTGTGAAGTTGAATAGAGGAACCTGGTATGAGCCTGGCTTTTCTTGGTCACTAAGCCACATTCTGAAGTGCAGTGGGCAGCTGCTTGTCCCTAGAATCAGTATGGAGGGGAAGGAG